CAATTTCTATATTATTTTTTATGTATTTTATTTATTAAATCTTTCTAAACAAGTGTTTGGTTTACCAATAGATTCTACTCAATTGTTTTTAAACAAATGTACTTCTTTTGAGCACGAAAAGAAATCATAATGAAATGATATTTATTATCAGATAAAAGTATACGAAATAATTATATTTGTAATTTGAATATCACGATTCCCCAACTTAAAAGTAACAATAAAAAATAAGTAAAAGGGCTCGAGTCGTTGTGCAGAGTGTGCGATTAATCTTCTAACCTTCTTCAGCGATAATAAATGCAAAAGTTACATGCCTAAACTGCCTACATATAAAAAAAAAGATGAATTTCACATCTTCCGATCTTTTATTATCGCCAAAGAAGATTAGGAGACCGAAATGTACAAAAATTTATTATCGTTTAACGATTTTTATTGTTCTGTCGTCTCTTCAATAAATTTAACTTTCATATTGAGAGAATTCTTTGAACAATTTGCGCACTCTGAATAGCGTCTATTCCCTCGAGCCCTTTTATTTATATTTGTAATGATGATTTAATAACATTGCGAGGCAAGGTGTAATGCCGAGAGGATTGTCTAATGCATCTCTATGTAAGCAAGCAGGAAAGAATTCAGGCCGCGCGATGACTAACAATACATACATACCTCAAGCGAGAAAGCATAAGAGGAACGGTATGGTGAATCGGTCATACTTCGAGTTTCTTGGAACGGCAATTATCGGAGATAGTTTCCTACAGGATTTTTCGGATCGAGAGGGAGATACAATTCGCACGTGGGTGTCTTTGTCTTCGGCTGGCAACGTCTGGCGTGGCGCCTGGTTCCCAAAGGCGTGGCCATTGATTTGTCTACTTTCGGTCACACACACGCACGCGCGCACGCGCGCGTACACACACACACACACACACACACACACACACACCAAAAGAAAAAGCTTGAACTCGCTTAGAAATACTCGAATAGTGACACCCACATACGCGGACAGCGGCCATTCATCGGCAGATTCTTCTTCCCATTCATCACAAGATTCTCATCTCTTCGTTCAATGCATTTGCATCGTACTTATAAGAATATCATGTACGTGATATATATCACGTAAATGACTCTCATTTACATTAACGAATTATAATTAAACAAATCATCCTTTTTATTATTACAGAATAAAAAATATTTTGTATTTAAATCGGTTCTAGTTATAAGTTTTAAATTAAATTTTTAACCTATCCGAATATTAATTTAATTGATTGGATTATTTTAATATTTTGTATTAAATTGTTTTTTTTAATATTTTTTAAAATAATACAATTTTCTTGACTGAACAAACAAATATTAAAAATAATGAATTTAAAAACATAAAAAATATTATTTAAATGTAAATTCAAAGATAAATGAATAAAATGTATTAATTGATATATTATAAATGTTAATTTTACTGAAGAAATATGCTTCCATAATTTGCTTACAAATTGTGTCAGTATTACACTTTTTGTATTAATATTTTGCAGAATATGTTTTCATTTATTGTTTAATTTTTATCTCAAGAGCCCAACTTTAATTATTCTTTGATTTTATAAAATATTTATGTTAAATTTTCCAACAGTGTTCCAACCGGAAACAGAGACTCGGTTAAATTGCGGCTGAAGTTAACTTTTCCATTTAGTAGTTATGTGTTTTTTTCTATTTATTTGGTACGTAAATAACATGTGGCTTTATGAATTATTTTTTCGCTTTAATTCTGATATAGTGAGTTATATTATGCAATTTGAATGAAGAAGAAAGTGTCACGTTATGAATACATGGTCACTTTATTGCATCGCTTATAAGCTCTGTAAATTGTTAACGAAAGACATTAATGCGATTCAAACATTCAGAACGATTTCAATTGGAAAGTTTAGACTTCCTACGAGTCGATAAAATCACGATTATTGCGAAAACTTTTATGGAACAGACATCAGAATATAACTAAAGTCATAAAGTAACGCTCTCATAAAGATGCCGCAATGCGTCTAATTCTTGTTGAACAAATATAATGCTTTTCGTAACATATTTTATTAGATAATAGATTTTATTAAATAAAGACGTTTAGAGACGTCATTTAAATGACGTGTCTTATTTCATTCATGATCTTATTTATAGTAATAAAATATCAGAAAATTTATGGTTTTTATTTTCATTGTTTTGTAAAAAGGCTAAATTTTTATTTATCTAACTTTATTTATCTAACTTTATAACTTTTTATTTATCTAATATCTCTGTGTATATTCATTTTTATATCATCGACAAAGTTTTGAAATGCTCGACACAAATCAATTTCGGCAATTTCCACTTTTAGATAAACACTATTATTCACTGTGTGTTTTTGAATTCACTGTAGTCGAAACAAAGCATTTGCGAAAGCTCTCAACGGTTTGATATAAAGTCTAAAAGTTTTAAATTGTCAGTAAAGTCAACAGAGTAACGTAAACTTGTGAATTCAAGAGAGCATAACAAATTATGTAAGAATATATACATCGCTCATTTGTTACAACATAAATAAAAAAACAAAATTTTTTAGAAAATAAGTCTGAATATTTTAAATTATAAAAATTTTGTATAATAATTCAATTTTAAAATATAATTTTGTAATAATTGATTTAGTGAAATAAAAGTACATTCTTGAGAGTATATACGTTCTTTTTCTTTATCCGTCTTTTGCAAGCAACTAAAAAATTGTTAATTTTTTAGTTATGTCATTATTGTAATGAATGAGCGACATATCCTTTTTTTTTATTACGATAAGTAATAATTGTATTTTGATTTTCTTTGAAAAACCTTATTATTCTCTTATATTTTTTAAATCTGTTTTATTTTTGTTTAAAATTGTATTACATTTCATTTCAACTCTTAGTCTTATATTAGAATGTTTATTACATAGTATTTTATATTTCAATTGTTATTATAATCATTTTATATTTTATTGAATAATTATATTGCTACGCAATCAATGTTAATTATGATGATTATCATCAATTATAAACAAAGCTATTCAAATTAAAAAAAATGTTATACACACAAAATGTTATATATATATATATATATATATATATATATAAATTAATATGAGCGTAGTCAAAAGAAACTGTGCAGTATTCACAAGAAATTAATTTTGGAAAAGAAGAAAGAATTGGAGACGAAAGTTATACAAAGATTTTCTAAAAATTCAAGACAGCTAATATTATAAAAATTTAAGTTTTTTCAGTTCAAATCAGTTTACAATTTTAAGAGAAAAATAAAATAAATTAATAAATTAAATACATGTGATTTTTGACTTGTGTGCTAGCAACTAATTAAAAATAATATAAAAAAATCCAATAATTCACTACTCGACTACCACCTTCTCCCCCTCTCTCAGTTCAGAAGTCACCACTCTAATTTACTTTCCCTCCTAAACAATTCTGGTCACACTCGAGTAAATAATATATAAGTTATTACAAGAACGAAGGACTCTTAATTTAAAAAACATAAATAAATATATGTATAAGTGAAATATTTATCTTACAATACTTTACCACGTCTATTTCAAAACAATAATATGCCTGCCGCACAGACTGTCGATCTTCGTACATTAAGCAGGAAAGTAAAATATTAGATTGACTTAGGTCAGTACCGATCGAGACGTCAGGTGCAGTCGGCTCCGACGAAAAGATCAAGAGTCACTCCGATCCTTTCCCACATACAATAATATGTTCCCGAAAAGTACTTTGATTCCAATCGATATATCCTAATTGATTACCTATCCAACCGCATGCGGTACCCCATCGAGAGAGCCGGCCCGTCGCGCGTCGACCGTCGTCGTCTCGGCGCACGCGATACGAGCGAGCGGCGACTTCGGTCGCGCGCGAGCGAGCGAGCGAGCGAGCGAGCGAACCAACCAGCCGAAGCTGGAATCGAGGATGGAGAACCAACCGACGACTCGGGAAGGCAGTGCACGCCCGGCTGCCGACACGAGCGGATGGCGTACGTTGTCGCTCGCGCCACCACCATCACGCTCGCCTCGTGATTTTCCTTCCTGTCACGCACGGCCGTCGCTCGCCGTTCAAGCCGTGTGACGAGTCGCGCTTAGGTGCTTAGGTCGCTCTACGACGACACTCTCTCTTTCCTCTTTTTTTTCCTTCTCTGTGTCGTTCTCTCTTTCTTTCTCTCTCTCTCTTTTCTCTCTCTTTCTTTTTCTTTCTGAACCTGCCTCGTGTCTTTTCTTGCTCTCTTCTCGCACGTGTCTCCTGCCGCGCGAATCGACGCTTTTAAGGAGAAAGAAAAAGAAAAGAAATCCAACTGCGTGAAAGAGAGAAAGAGAGAGAGAGAGAGAGAGAAAGAAAGATATCGCTTGTACTTGCGCGCGCCGTCATTGACGCGCGCGTGCCCGCTCACGTACGCATTCACGCACGCGAGACCGTCGTCGCTCGCACGTGCGCGCGATATAAGTACACAGCGGAGGAAGTCACAGTCGCACAGCAGCCATCGCACGGCGTCGCACGGCATCGCACAAGATAACGATTAACGTGCGAGCCGCACCGAAATGAATCGCCGCCGCGTGTGCAGCCCCAGCCCGACCGGTGGAGGAATCGGAGCCAGCCGCTGACGGCTGACGGCTGACGTCGAGTTACCATAGCAGCCTTATAGCCGCGCGTGGCGATCAGCTGATCGCTCAGAGCGCACCCTCATCCGCCCACCCGGCGTGGCGGCAGGGACGTGAGACGTCCATCCGTCCGTCCGTTGTTCGTTTATCCGTCGGCGGGAGTCGCAGGCAGTCGGCCACCAGCGGCCACGTCCGCGCCTCGTCGTCTCTCTCCGTTCGCGCGTCATCGTCGCACGTCGTCGCACGTCGTCGCACATCGTCGCTCGTCGCTCGTCGCGTCGCCCACCAGTCGTGTCTCCTTCTTTCCCTCCTCTTCTCCGTTCTCCGTCTCTGCGTGCTCCGTCTCTCCGCGCGTTTCCGCCGTAACGCGGGTTCTACGGTACGGGCCAGTACGGGTGCGCCGACGACGGTCAGAGGACGTTTCCCCGGGTGATCGTGGTGTGTGTCTTATCGTCGTCGGCACGGAAACGCGGAAACGCCGCGCGCCATGCCGTCGCGCCGGCAGTCCGCGACCAGCAGACCGCGTGCGGAAACACCGACGTGCAAACACTGCAAACGCCGCCGGCGTGTCGACGTCGACTCTGAGTCGCCCGCGATGAGATGATCCGGGTCAGTCAGTGCTGCAGGTGCTACTGCTGTCGACTGCTGTGTCGAATCGCCGCGTCGACGTAAACACACGTAAACCAGACGAACGGAGTGAAGGACGCCTCCGAAATATAGATAGAGACGAGGTGGAACGACGTCGCGCCATAGGATTATGCCCATGATATTGCGAAATCCCGAGAGTTCGTACGACCACGCGCAATTTGCCGGCCTTCTTTCATTCTTTTGTACGGCTCCAAGAGATTTACGGCTAAAAGCAGCTTCAGCAGCTGGACGTCATCATCGACGGCGACCAACCCGCCGCATGGGAGTAATGTGACCGTCCCCGTGGTTCAATACAGTGCGCCGAACGTGTGGATAGTTTTTTGTTTCTTTCTGTTTTTCTTTCGCGCGCGCGATCATCTCTCGCTATTGCGCCCGCATTTCAAAACAAAACGCGCGAGCGCGTGTCACCGGTTTGTTTAAGCGCCACCTGTCGGCCGTGAAAATATCAGTGTAAGTAGTTTGAAAATTTTCAAACGGCTCGTCAGTACGCCGTAAAGTCGTGCACGTCGCGTGATCTCGGTCGTTTCGTAAGTTTCGGACGCAGTCCGGCAGTTTCGAACGGTCGTCGGTTTGATCTTGCACGTCGCGTTGATCTTGCAATCCCACGAAGAGGAATCGGGTAAGGGAAATCGTTTTCGGCGAAAATTTCGGACGTTGAACGTGTCGCCGGAACTCGGACTCCGCGAACGGAATCTGATTCCTGTCTGTCTGTGACAATCGTGTTCATTGTGCCTCGCCGCGAACTTCTTTGAAAAGAGAGAAAAAAACTCGAACTGTAGTTAATCGTTGAGCGATCGTCGCCCGACGGGAGTGCGTGTGCCGAACGATTGCGAAAAAGTGGAAATTCTGTGATAGGCGCCTGCTCGGATTAAGCGAGGAAGGTGCGAGGTGCAAAACGGTCTCCGGGAACATCTCCGTGGAGCGCAAGGAAGTTTTGGTAAGCAATAATGAAAGATCTGTTTTTTTATTCCCGTATTTGACTGCATTAGAACTGATATTCATAGTCGATTTATACGTATATTTAAGAGGCTTTTTACAATAAATCATAAACCGTGAGAAATCGACCAATCAAATGTGAGAAGAATAGTTGATTTTTCTTAAAGAATTAAGAATTCTTCCTTGCTTTCGCTGAATATCAAACATAATACATCTCACGTAGACTTCAAAAGTACACAAGTTCAACCACAAAAGTCAGACTTTGGTATATAAAGGGTACTTTCCATAAGTCAACACAAATGTTGTTCTATCTTTTTTTGCATTCTATGAGTAACAAAGACAGAATATTACTGGCGCAGTCGACTAAAGGAAGTGTTACTAAGGGAAGTCCCCAAAATTTACCTGCATGTCTACGATGCGGCCCATGTTATTCGTGAAATAGAAGCAAAATGGCGGACGTTTCTCGGTCGTAGAAATTATTACTGTCGTTGTGACGTGAACGTACACTGATGAAAAAAGTTCTTAACTTGACCGTTTCAATGTTAGTTTTACTTTTAAGTTTCTTTTTCCGACAGCGAAACACGGTCATAGATTGGTGTGACACAGTAATATACATTGTCGATTTGTAACTGAAACGTTGTTTACAATTAGCTTTTTTATTTCAGAGTGAAATAAAGTAGAAGTACACCTATGTCCGAATATATCTGAATGTAATCTTAAAACTTCTTATCGAAGTATCACTCTTAGAAAAATAAATAATAATGAAATATAAAAATTTGGTATTCTCTCTCGTGAAGTGATATAAAGTGACAATACAGTTGAACACAGCATTTTAACTGTACACGATTGTGTCGACTTGTATCGTAGTTGAAAAGCATGAAATTATATGTGTTACTGTGTTACAGAGTTACTTGTGTAGGTGAATTGTTGGAAAGCACCCTTAGTTTTGATTCAATTTAAGGACATTCTACAACGAGCTGCAAACATCCCTTTGCCAGTTGCAATGTTTCGCGACAGCCAAGAAGCATCAACAATTACTATTGACGGGGTATTTGCAACTCATTGTAGAATGCTCTTTTCATCCCTTTCTACTTTTAAAGCCTTGTGTCCACTATGTTTGAAATCGTTCCGAGATCTTGGACGGAGAATTGACTAATCGCATTGATCAAATGGCTGAATTGTTGAAATATGATTTGTTAGTCCTCAAACATAATAGGCGATAGGCATTCGAAATACAATAATACAATAGTAAGCTTTAAGCTAGTAAGATATTTGCCAATCACAGTCGAATGTAAGGGGAATAATTAACTATTGATTCAATTCTAAGCAGAATCATGAGGCTCGTAATTTGTTTTCATAGTGGGCTTTCTACAATAAGCCATTACTTAAGCTTTAAGTCTTAAGCCTTAAGAAATTGATCAATTATAGTCGATTATTCTTCTTACATTCGACTGTGACTCAATCAATTTTTTACGGCTTAAGATTTAACTTAAGTAACGACTTATTGTAAGAATGTTCATAAGACTTATGGGCTTTCTATAATAAGCCATTACTAAGCTTTAAGTCTCAAGCCGTAAGAAATTGAACCGCAATCGAATATAAGAAGAATGATCGACTATGATTGATCAATTTCTTACAGCTTGAAAATTAAAAGCTTATTGTAGAAAGTCCATTATACGAACTTATAATTGGAGTTGTAATTCTAAGACGTACGATTATTCATAAATATCTACGATTTTTTGCAATTCTTGTAGTTAGCAAAAAAGTATCTGTAAAGATGCTGCATATGCACAACAACTTTATAGTTATAAGAATTCCAGTTCTTACAAATCTTATGAGAACAAGTTATGAGCCTTACGATTCTGTTTAAAATTAATCCATATGATTGATTGATTTTTTAAGACTTACTGCACTTATTGTGTTTCGGGATTAATTCTTTCTTCGTCTGACAACTCGAACGATTTTTAATATCGCATGCAAGGCTAATATTACACTTGCAATACGATAAATTTTTCAAGTGTATTGCAAAACAGATTTTCGGATCTGTCTGGCTTATACCAGTCTTAGAAAAAGATGAAGAATAAGTTAAACTGAAGTTAACTTATATTGATAAAAAGAAACATTAATTAGTAGTTTAATTAATTTGCTTCGTCTTTATTTCGTTGAAAAATGTATTTAAATCAAATATAATATATTTGAATAAAAAAAATATATAAAGATAAAAACTAAACTTATTTAGTCAAGTTAATGTTTTTCTCAGTGTATACACGTATCCTGATGCTACTGATATACCTGATATAATACAATGAACTAAATTGGCTCCAATGCTACTTTCAACTTCCTCTAATATTATGTTGTAAAATTCAAAGTCGAACTTAATTTGATAAATATCGAGATGTAATGGACTATAGGTTATCAGAACGACAAAATGATTTTTTGTTATTATCTCAGAATGTAAACAGCATGTATATAGTTTATAAATAAAAATTAATCATCGATCAATTTTGAGCATTTACTCTAAGAATTTTGATGCATTATAAATATTATGATATTCAGGCTAATGTAAAATTTGAACAAAATATATTCTTCTTTGTATCAATTTATTTAATGAAAAATCTATCATTCGTTAATTAATTTTGAGAATTTTATTTTAAGAGAATTTGAATCCGAGCTTAAATATTGTGACATTTAGGAATATAAAATTCTGATAACATACACTCATCTCTATCATTTTATGAAATATTCACTATTATTCTTCAGCCAATTTTGAAGATTTTACTTTGAGGGAATTTGTAATTTGAGTTTTATTATTGTGACATTCAGGATAATGTAAAATTCTGACAAAACGCTTTTCTATTCTTTGTCGATTCATTTAATGACAAATCCAAATAAGAGAAACCTATGCGTATCAAGGTAGTTGCTAATGTTTCGGGAAGCACCGTTTTATCTCGCATCTTGGATTTATTGACGTCCGACTGTTTACGATTATGCAAATCCGAGTTTTTGATGCTACCGCGGCTTCGGGCTTCCGTACTGTCCGAGAAAGTTATGAACTAAACCCATCGGCATCAAGTACGAGCCGTCAGTCAGTCGCGGAGTCGACGAACCTCTATCGATCTTCACCTCCATCTACCCTTCGTCCTCCCCCGTTCGTCCGTCACGTAGGAATGCAACTTAGGAACGACTCGTCGTCTTCGTCGTCGTCACCGTCGCTCGCCAAGTTTTGCGCTTCGGACAACTTCCTCCGGGAACGAACGTTCATTTCTTACATACTCACGATTACGTCGTGCTCGTCCGTTACGAGTTATGAATATTAAACGTGAGGTAGGTGAATCTCTGCTTGACTTTAGTTGAGGTAGGTGAACCTCTCTGCTTGACTTCAGATACGAGAATTCGTAGCTATTGGCGTAACAAGAAAAGAACATTGGTGGATAGATTTGATAACGAATAATCAGCGAAATCTTTAATGTTTAACCCTTCGTTGACGTACTTGGGTGTGAACCAGGTACCTCAATATTATTTTAACTCTCTGAAACTCAATTTTCTTTTATTTTGTAGAATAAAAGTATAATGTTTATAAAAAAAATCTTTATTTCAATTCCCAAAATGGTCTACATTCAGTATGCAACTTAAATACTCTTTAACCAAAACCAACTTACAAATTAAATTTTTTTAAAGTATCATATCTGAACAATTCTGTAAATTTTTAACTTTTAATATTAAATTTTTAAAAAGTTACAGTTTTTTCAAAGATTTTGTTCGTTTTTTCTCTATTCATTAAACTCAACAAGAATTTTTTTTACAAAAACTGTAATGAAATCTTAATTAAAAACTATTTGAATGTATTCTACAAACCTGAAATTGATCCATAATTGTTTTCGTATTGATTGGATTTTTTAAATGAGAATGTCAGTTGTTTAAACATTATTCTCGCTGAGCCACCCAGTGCGTCAAAAAGTGATAAAAAAAGGAGTATCAACGAAGAGTTAATGAATTTGCGGCAGAAGATTCTGATCATATCAATAAAAATTCTGGTTATTTCAATTAGAATTATAACAAATTCAATCAGTAAATTCTTTGTTTCTTTTCAACCAGAATTCTAATTAATACAACTAAGCTCTTTTTCTTGTGTAAAAGACAGGAATGGGAAAAAAATGTGTGGAAATCACATTAAAAATAAAAACGAGCATTTAACATTAGAATCATTGATAGCCATTTTGATTTTGCCAATTATTACAATTTTTTCTGTATTTTTTGTGTATTAAATTTTTGTTTATTAGACAGTACAGAATGTTGAAAATGTGTGAATATAATACAAATAATTCTAATGATACAAATAATATTAAAATAATTCTTCACTAACCGACAATAAGAATAAGAAATTATCAAATTGGCACTTTCGACAGTTCCAGCGAGATACATTGACGGTTTTAATGTTAAAGTGATAATCAAACATATGTCGTACACTAAACACTGAAAAAAGTTATTAACTTGGCTACATTAATTTATCTTTTTATTGAGGAAAGTATGTATATATTTACATCAAGTATTATATATTTGATTTAAATATATGTTTAAATACATAATATATTTGACTTAAATATTGTATATTTAATTTAAATACACACACACACACACACACATATATATATATATATATATATATATATATAGAGTCCAACGAAAAAACAAAGACGAATTTAGGCAATTTAGTTAATTTAGTCAAAGTTTTTTCTCAGAGTAGTGTAATCGATAACAAGCTAAACGTTACTCGCATAGTGCAAGCGTGTGATGAACGGTAACGATGAGCTGATGTAGGTACTACTGTCTTTCATCACGAAAGTGAGTATTTCGTTATGATAATCTTTCTTTTTGGCTGAAAGTCGACTGTACGCTTAAGAATCTTTCAGTAAACTTTAGATAAATTTCCGATGATCGAAAGATCTGATTGAAGGTCAGTCCTAATCTCGCATGCTTCGAGATTCGTGATGCAAGTCTGCT